TTGATCAAGCATTGATCTTGATCTTATCCTTGATCTTATCCTTATCCAGATCTACGAATTCATTTGATTCCTCTTTTCCATGGTGGTCATAACCTGCAGGAATTACAAAATTGAAGGGATAAAGTTACAGCATAGTTCTGTGGCTCTAAGAAAAATATTTTAAAGATATATCCAAAATAAAGTTACAGCATAGGTCTGTGTTTCTAAGAAAAAATATATCCAAAATATAGTTACAGCATAGGTCTGTGTTTCTAAGAAAAAATATATAAAAAATATAGTTACAGCATAGGTCTGTGTTTCTAAGAAAAAATATATCCAAAATATAGTTACAGCATAGGTCTGTGGCTGTAATAAAAAATATATCCAAAATGAGAAGAGAAACCAATATTCTATTTCTATTTCAATTTAACATTCTTTTCAAACTATTTACGCAAAGTTTTTTTCTATTAAAATTTCATCAGATTTATTTCCGCCGCTAGTGCGACCCAAAAAACTGTGTCATAGGAAGACGACATATAGTCAATTTATGAGTATTTGATGTTTTTTTATGTTTAGTTTGACCAGTAGTTTGGTAAATAAAATGAATCTGTGTACACTGCACAATTCCATGACTTTTAGACCTTTTTTAAATTTAAGATAGTCCAATAACATGATATACAGCAATTGTGCATGCACTGTGATTTAAAGGTTGAAAGCTCTCACGCCAAAATCAAAGTCAAAGGTGTTGCGACACTTCAAAGTCGGCCCTATCAATTTTGTATATGACCACTTTTTCAACAATTTTCAATTAAATTATTATTATTTATTTAGGGTTAGGTTAGGTTAAAACACTTTCTGGGCCGAGCGCTGCGGTTAGGACAGGCTAGGGGGCCGAGTACTGCGGCCACGGGTTAGGTTAAGTTAAGACGCTTTCTGGGCCGAGTGCTGCTGGTAGGACAGGCTAGGGGCCGAGCGCTGTGGCCACATGTCTTACATTTAAGATCCATATACAAAATTTGATAGGAGCGGTGGGGTGGACTTTGAGGGGTCCAAAAATCGTTCTCTAGGAAATTAACGAGTTATGCTTGAACAAGTATAAGATTTCAATCAGATCTGCAAATTATTTTAGTTTAACGTGGCTTTACTCGATAATAATATTATAGAATATTTGCGCTGTAACAACACCAAAAATATTTCTTTAAATGCGTCTTCCAATTCCACAGTTTTCTGTTCCTCACTGTAGGATTTTGGATTGTACAGTGATAACCAGAAAACGATGGAATTGGAAAACGACATTATAGTAATACTTAAGTGTATTAATTAATTAATTTTGCAATACTTAATTTTGTATTTTTAAATGTAAATTGTTCTTAAATCCCTAATTTAGTCGAATAAGTCTGCTTTTATTGCACAATTGATGTGTCTCGTGATCATTTGTCTTTTTATAGTTATAACTTGATTCTGACAGTCGTCTTTTTAGAGTTTTCTGGTTATCACTGTATTATGTTTCTGTTCAGTCGACTTTTAGTTTGCCTGGTCCAGGTGGTGTAAATGAAATTTAGTGAGTGTATTGTAGTCTGACACTGCTTTGTATAGAATGATATCACCCAACAATACTCACTGGATTATTATTGTAAAGGGACTATATAGTCACACACACAAACACACACATTCCGACAAACACAAACATGTCCATAATACTAGTTACATATAAAACAAATTAAATGTGTTCGATACTAAGTTTCATGACGATACTCTGTTTTGAGTTTCAGACTCAGAAACCTCAGTACACTTTTTTCAAACAAAGATATGGAAGTTCCTGAGCCTGAAATTTAAAAGAGTATCGTTGAACGAAACTTCCGAGTTTCCTTTTTGGGGTCTTATTATTTGTGTAGATTTTGATTTAAGAGATTTGATAAAAATGGTAAGATATAAAGGATTAAATAAAATAATATTTCAAAACAAAACTATCGATACCTACAAAACTGGGTAAACCCATTTGTGAAACCCGGGTTCCAAAACTGGTTTTCATAACGATACCCTGTCTTAAGTTTTGGCCTCTGGTGTGTTTTTCTGTGCACACATTAAAAAATTTGTCCATAAACTTTGCTAAATTTTCCGTAAGCAAAAAGTGTACAGCATCTTATAAACAAACCAGTGTGTCAGTTACACTGAGTATTTTTATATTTTACGAAAAGGTTTATTATGTCCTGTCAGAATTAAAAGATTCGCAAATGAAAACAGGAAAATTTGAAGAATAAAGTCAAGGCAATATATTTTAAAGGGACTGCTCACTTATTTTGGCAATTTCAGTGTAAAATTAAAAGCATATTAGTTATTCCTTGGCATTAGTCTTTATTTCCAAAGAAACATGTGGCCGGAGTTCTTAACGATAAATTGACTTTTTCTCCGGCCACAGTTATCTTTGAAAATTAAGAAAATTTAGTTTACCCTTAAAATACCCAAATAAGTGAACGGTTCCTGTAATTAACGAAGAAAGAGTGTAAAAGTGGCGCAAAGCGCTCCGGATGCCAAGTACCTCTGGATCAACTGGAACACACAAAATAAACAAACAACATGAAAGTCTAAAAGTTGAAACTAAATGAGGCAAATTTACTCCAGGAAAAACAAATTAGTACAAAGCAAAAAGTAAAGCAGAATGTAATTCTCAGAGCAGAACATGTTTACAAAAGATTTACGTTCTGTCATACCAGAAATCAGATTTACGTTCTGTCATACCAGAAATCAGATTCACGTTCTGTCATACCAGAAATCAGATTTACATTCTGTCATACCAGAAATCGATCTATCTTAAGTATGAAAGAAAAATAATCAGGATTTCTTTCTAAAACAATATTTCCTTTTAATAAGAAAAAATCTAACTAAAGGTAAGATTTGTTAAAAAAGGTAAGATTTGTTAAAAAAGTCCAAATATAAATTTCGAACAACTTTATTTAATGTAACACGTCTAATTAAAACAAATTTCACGGTAAATTAAAATCTTTTCATCTTGGAGAGCTTTTTGAGAAGAAGAAAAATGTTTAAATTTTATATATTATGTATATTATGTTTATCATGTATAATATGTAACTTTCTTTCTCGTATTTGAATGTAAAATCAAAACTTGAGAAACTCTTATTTAATTTATTAGATTTACTTTAACGATACCATCATAACGGCATCCTTTCGTTAATTATTGCATTTAGTTAAACGATTCGGCATCCTTTCGTTAATTTATTAGATTTACTTTAACGATACCATCATAACGGCATCCTTTCGTTAATTTATTACATTTACTTTAACGATACCATCATAACGGCATCCTTTTGTTTATTTATTACATTTACTTTAACGATTCGGCATCCTTAAGTTAATTTATTTGATTTACTTTAACGATACGGCATCCTTTCGTTAATTTATCAGATTTACTTTAACGATACCATCATAACGGCATCCTTTCGTTACTTTAGAATAAACACAATAACAAAGTTTTGGCTTGCCTGGTTTCTTTCAATTCCTGACGACTGAAGAGTCTGGTTCTAAATAAAAGAAGCAATTTATCTAATTTTTCTTTAAAACCAGATTAATGAAACCCTACCGTAAGTGAATCTTAAAATTGTTTTTTTTTTTGATGCAAGGCTCCTAAATACATATTAACACTGAAATAGATTAATAACTCTCAACTAAAAGTCAAATTTTCGTATGTTCCATATATCCCCATTCAAACCTATGAATACGAATACATTTCAGATAAATTTATATGATTTGAGATTTCTTATTTTGAATTGTAGAAAAATTCCTTAAATATTTCTCTTTGAAAGTATAACACACTTAAAGTATAACACCTTTAAAATATGGAGGGGGGGCACATTGAACCAAGCTTATTCCGATTCAGTTTTCAAATATACAGGGTGTCCCTGGACGATTTGATCTTTTAAGTATTGCGGCTTTTATTTAGATTTTACAAGTAGAACTCTTGAAACAATAGTCACAAAATATTTCTGGAAATTTCCGAATTGAGGTCTGATGTTTTAGTGCTTTCAAAGTTACGGGAAGATTTTCATTTAGGTTCAGACAGTTTGGGGTTTATTTTATAATAAAAAACATCTGGACGAAATTTTTTAAAGCTCCGAAAATTTTGCATGCATAAAAAGAAGGTATAGATGTAAATATGGATTGACTCTTTTCTTTATAGATTTTTATGTCATTATCATAATTTCAGAAATTATTATCCTTGCGTCCTTTTTCCTTATTCTCTTTTCTTTATATTCTACTTTTTTTAAACTCTCAATCTTTATAATTTCATTTTTTTCTTCTTCTCATTCCTCATACCTTCATCGTCTCTACCTTCTTTCCCTTCTCCATCCCTCCTCCTTCCTCAATGATACAAGATATTCTTTATTGTATTTCTAGCCCAGGGTTATCCTAACTGGTTTATATACATTACATAGTCCTCACATATCCTTTATGTTGTTAGACCTATAGGACCTACAGTCTTTACTTTTTATGTCTCTTTCTGTCTTTTCTCTGCAATATTTAAGTGGAAAGCTTAAATTCAACCCTCTGATCGTCATATCTTATTAGGTTAAGGTCGCCACTAGTGGCTTATTCTTTGTGGATAAGTCTTTAATGCACTTTAGAATAAGTTGAATAAGCTCAGGTTAGTTTAACTACATCTTAATGCCGCAAAGATCTGTCTGTATCTATTTGTATGCTCAAAGTTCTGTCTGTATTTATTTGTCTGCTCAAATATCTGTCTGTATCTATTTGTCTGCTCAAAGATCTGTCTGAATCTATTTGTTTGCTCAAAGTTCTGTCTGTATCTATTTGTCTGCTCAAGGATCTGTCTGTTTCTATTTATCTGCTCAAATATCTGTCTGTATCTATTTATCTGCTCAAAGTTCTGTCTGTATCTATTTGTCTGCTCAAGGATCTGTCTGTATCTATTTATCTGCTCAAAGTTCTGTCTGTATCTTTTTGTCTGCTCAAAATTCCTCTCTCTGTCCATTGGAATAAAAGAAAATTCTTAGTGAATTTAATTCAATAATGTTTAAATAGTATCACAACCACTTTGGTTCTGTAAACCTGACAAATAATAAATTATTGTATACAGTGGTCCCCAAAATAATATAAAATACAAAAATTTTACCCTCCATGACAGCAATACATACTATTTATCTCATTTCTATGCCGTCTTTATATTCCACTTTATTATGGCGACCACAGCACATAAACTAAACATATTCAGAAATTAATTAACTAGCTGGAGAACCCATTTTTTCTCCGATCAGAAGGAATACTGTTCTTAACTTTAAATTTAACTGGGAGCCGGGGTGTTAAAAACTAGATTATGACAGGGAGGTTCGAGAAAATGGGTTCATGAGATGAGATTGATTCATTTGATGAAAGACATTCAGCGCCCCTGGTAGTAAAGAGGGAGGAATACCAAAGGGGCGTGGCATCATGGGCGCCGAGGCGAAACGTAGGCGTTCCATTTCAGATTCTGCAATTCGCTTCGTTTTTGCCCTTCTGTTTTGGAACCAAATTTTGACTTGAGTTTCTGTAAGTTTAAGATGATTAGAGAATTCTGCTCTCTCTGCTATGGAAAGATATTGTTTCTCTCTGAACTTCTTCTCCAAGGAGTTCAACTGCTGGGTTGTGAAGGGGGTCCGGGGCTTCCGGTTCGGTTTATGTTTTCTCAGGGTACATTTCAGAGGAACTTGGGGCCCGTTCATAACTCCTGAAAAAAAAATCATTTTAGAATAATTAAATAAACATAATTCAGGAAATTCTGAGAAAATTGATTTATGGGCGTTAATTATGGGCGTATTCGTGTACACCTCTGGTTAATGATTTCTCAAGCGAGAATATCTAGATAAAACAATGGTTTAATTATCTCTAAATATGCATATAATACATCTATAAATTGTTTTATATCAATGCATGAAAATAATATATAGCATGATGTTATTAACTTATCAATGTTACAACCTAATTGAAAACATAATTTGAATTTCACAAAACAAATTAAATTGAAGCCGTGAGTTCGCAATTTGCAAAATTGGCTTAATTTCTTTTGGCGCAATAGTCTGAAAACTTCGCAAAGTTTGAACAAATAAAACTTTTTGAACTAATCATGATAAAAAAATCGATTAGACCGAAAACAGAATCAAAGTTAGACACTTAGATAGACAAGGAGTCACTAATTAAACATTTATTTTGGTCTTTAATTAGCCAAATATCATTTTATTATACCTAGCTATAATCTTTACCGAGGACAAATTAAATAAAACCACAAAATAAAACTTTTGCATCGATGAATTTAATGGGATTTGGTTTAATCAAATTGGATTCAAGGGAGGGGGAGGGGGGGGGCTGGAAAACCACGTTAGAATGGAGAAAATTCTCTCAACCTAGTTTCTAATGAGTATGATATGGTAAACTAAACATTGCTTGATTAAAGGCGTTCATCCCAGGGGGGAAAATATTAAAGAATTTTGGTTGGTTTGGAGTATCTTGTCTGAGAGAGAGGAGGGGATGGGGGTACGCCAGGGGGTGACGAGGGAGGGAGGGCGGAGACACTGCTCCATCTCTCTCCTCATTTCCAGGATCTATATCATCACAGTCAGAGTCTACAGAAACGTCCTCATCCTCGTCCCGACTCTCGTCATGAACATCATCGTGATCATCATCATCTTGTTCATCGTGATCACGATGAACAACGGGGGACATAAACTTGTTTTCTAAGAGTGAAGCTACGCTGAATGAAAGTTTTTTTTTCTCAATTATGGTTTCATTTGTTTTTTCATCTCCTCCTCCTCTTTCACCCTGCAAATCCATCATACTTTGCAGATGTTAGCTAGTCACTCGAAACCCAGTTTGAGGACGGATAAATTTAGACGTTAAATTTATTTTGTAACTAATATCAATGGATATGAATCCAATTTAGATATATCCTTATACACACAAAACTAGGATATCCTATGATATAAAAATATCTTATTAAATATCTGGATATAATAAGTCTCCTTGTTTGCTAAGCATTCTCTAGAGAACTGAATAAGAGCTTGAAACCTTGTATTCTCGGCCCCGGTCTCTCTCCAGCAGCGGTAAAGGTTCCGTCCAATCCTAGCAGCTCCGCTTCTGTACCCAGCCAGGACCCGGAGTAAAGGATGTGCGCTCTAATGGGGCAATAAGGCTTTGGCGTGGTAATAGGATTTGGATTTATTGGGATTTCTCAAGATGAAAGTTTTTGTGATGCTAAATATGGGGGAATAGTGTACATTAAGAAACCATCTATCTTGGGCTATACCGGGACCTATAAGTTTATCTATTGTGTGAAAATCTAGGAGATGGTAGGGGGGAGAGAAGGGAGAGAAGGGGGGAGGGGAGGGAGATAGGTGTGCATGAATTAAAATTGTATGCATGGATGGTCCTAAACAATAATCATTATGTTATATTCTAAACTTATCATATTTATTTACCCTAAAAAGGAGTCTTTGCCACAAACTTTGATTTTTTAATCTCTATATCTTTCCAACCCAAAGTCGTAGACCTTTGATATTTTAAACTATGCATTCTAATAGATCAAATAATCTAATAATAAAATATGAAAGGTTTACACCATCAGGTTGAAAAGATTTAGGGATTAGAAAATTTGAGTTTGTGGCAGAGACTCAATTTCTTTAAAATAACCGGAATACGAATTAAAGATTTACAGATTTAATCTTTTTGTATGATATGAAGTAAATAATATTTTTGCTCAAGGATATTAAGAAACTTAAAGAATCTGTTCTCCAGCTGCAAACAGGTATTTTTAATTTAGCAGAGATGCAACAATAGGAACTTAAAGGGAAGAGTGCCTGAAATTCTTACTTGAATTTATCTCTTCCTGAGATTTCACTGAATTCTATCAGAAAACTCTGAAAATTATTCATCAAATTTTGAAAGTGTCGCAACACCTTGGCCTTTGGTTTTATCTCACCAACTCCCTTAATGAAACTGTAAGATTTTACAGATAAAAAAACGACGATATCTTTCATATTCTTGCTCAGGTAACCACTGTACAATAGTGTACACTCCAGATTCCCAGATATCCCACTCTATAAATAGAGGGTGGTAATATGAATTACCGTTGTCAGTCCCTTTAAGAAAAAGGAAATTAAAATTTTATTTAATTCTTTAACATACAAAAGTTTAAACTTTAACATACAAAAGTTTAAACAAAATCGTAAAAGAATCTAAGGTTCTCACTTTTTTGTTTTTGTTGAATTTTTGTAATCCATTTAACAGGGCGTAGCCCTATTGTACCGCACTAGACGGCTCGACAGTCAACAGATAAATAAACAATTTGGAAATATTATATTTGAGATTGTTCTTGTTGCATTTCATTAACGAACTGTATTGTTCACCACTCCTGGCTATTCATTAACAGAACAAATGATTCTGATCTTTAATTTAAACTGTTCATATTCTTTTCAGAGCATACATTCAGCAGAGGTCATACTACACTACACAGCTACATTTTATCCTCCTCCTCTATTGTCCTCTAAATGAGGTGAAAATACTGAATAAAGATGAAAACTCGAGCCTTTATAACAATCTATCTTTCTAGAATACAATATATCTAGTCAGGCTTACCGATAGCTCAATAGCTCATCAACTGCTATTCTGGTTCTTATCTATCTTCAACTTAGTGCTTTTTTGTAATTCTTAACAGTATTTTTGTCGTGTCAATTTTTCTGATTGTTAACCATTTTTTCATGTTTTCATTTGTTAACATGAACAAGCCTAGATATATTATATTGTACATTGTCTGTAAATCTAAATGTTCTTATCATTAACTACGCAAAACTTTTAATGCGATTAACCTAGCCTAGCTACGTCTGTAAATATGTCAAACCCTGTATCGTGATTAGCTTAACTACGCTTATATATGTCTGCAATAATCTTGTAAATACATGAAGCTTGTGTCCGAGTTGACATTGAAGCCTATGATATCATGCCCATTTGGTTTTCATTGATAGTTACGTGCTTATGTCCTTGTTGACATTGGAGCCTAAGATATTGTGCCCATTGGTTTGGCATTGATAATTACGTGTTTATGTTCTTGTTGACATTGGAGCCTATGAGATTTTGCCCATTGTTTTGGCATTGATAGTTGCGTGCTTATGTCCTTGTTGTCGTGGGAGCCTATGAGATTGTGCCCATTGGTTAGGCATTGATAGTTACATGCTTATGTCCGTGTTGACATCAGAGCCTATGAGATCGTACCCATTGGTCTGGACATTGATCGTTTTACGAGTTGTATCTGGACGGATTCAGAGTTTTAAGAGTACGGCATTTACGACAGTCTTGTTGTTCATAAAAATGGTAAAAAAATTTTTTACTTGTTCATATTACTATTATTTTACTATTAGTGGATGCAGCTAACTACTATCCCTATAGCCCGATTGCGAAGAGCAAACATGTTTTATAAAAAGGTTGGATAAAATATGTCAATGCCCGATTCACACCAGTACCCTTCAAGCCTTAATTTAATCAAAATTGTGGAAGATAACGTCATTTTTTTGGCTCGAAAAGTGTGTATTTCTGTAAATTTCTCCATTGTTTCTTAAAAACGTGAATTGCGCAAGTCACTTTTGTAGAGAACCCACACAAATGAAAGCAAACAGTTTAAAAAAACAAACACATGAATCTCTAACCCATACTTGATCAAACAAAGCTTTTAAGGGTTCCGACGAGAATAAGGAATCGTCATATTTACTTCGAAGGTCACTTGAAATTACGCTTACAGTCCCTTTAAGCAAAATTATCCTTCGCTCCTTTAAATGAAGTTGAGGTTAATCACAGGTTGAATATCGTATATATTAATGAACACGTCCGACCTTGGTTGGTTTTAGTGGAGAATAAGGCTCAATGTTGCGTCTTGTTCTCATAAAAACTGGGAATGCGCCTATTCCTACCATTAAAATCCGCCAAACAGAATATTAAACCGGTTTTTTAAACTCAACTCTGTGGAAAATAAGATGCAGCCTGAATCCTAAAGTTTTTTAAATCGCAGGCTCAGTCCCCCCCCTTCAGCGAGGAATAAAGATGATTTATCTCGCAGAATTTCAATTGATATTTCAAGCTTATGTTATTTATATTTAATCTACTAGAAATTCAAGGCGCTTCGCGCCCTTCTTTCTAGGCTTTTAGGGTGGTTCGCGCCCATCTTCTAAATTAGTTGTGAACATGTTCTCTTTGTGTACATCGTAAAACAAAACAAAAATAATTCGCGGATTTTCACAAAAAATTTCGCGGATTTTCAAAATTTTTACAATTTTAATGACGATCGAATTTTGATGGAGACAAATATTTGAAATTATGATTTTTCATAAACCTTCCCCGGGGGTCCCTAGATGTCCCACAAGAAATTTGGGCCCGATCGGTTCATCCGTTTTGACGTTTATTGGATACAAACAAACAATCAGACAGACAGACAAGCCAAATTTATATATAGATAAGTCAGAATAGTTTGACTCTATTTCAATTGGTTCCAAAGATTTAGGGAGTAGAAAATCAGAGTTTGTGGCAAAGACTCCATTTCTTTACAAAATGAATGGTGTAAACAACATTATTGTTTTTCTCAGAAAATTTTTATATTATATTCAGTTTTAATTTACATCATTCAGTTTTTTTTGAACCATCGAGAAGTGTTGACAGCTAGTAGGTATGTTTGTTAGCTAGAAATATATTAGCTTCTAGAACCAAAGAGGTTATAGTATATAGCTTGGGATGATCAAGGGTTAATGCAAGGAAAGTTATTTCTTTGGGGTCTAATGTAAACACAAGAGTAGGGGTGTCACAGCCTGACATGGGATCCATCTTTCAAATAAAAAATCAATGAAATATTCTGGTTATAGGAATTTATAACATAAATTATCAAACTTAAAAAAAAACTTTAAGTTGACTTTCCTTGCATTACACCCTTGCTCCTAACATTCTTTATCAGTAAACCGTCTTAATAGTACACTCAAGCTAAATAGCAGGGTAGGTAGTTAACTACCATCCCCCCTGACTAGAACAAGATGAAATATAAGAGCTAATTCAAGAAGGACAGTTGGAAAAAAGAGAAGAAATGAATAGTTGGATTGTTTTTGCCAGGATAAAGAACTGATTTATACAGAGCTGATAAAGTGGCTGATTTATATGTAATGACTGATTATACAGAATTTTTTACATTTACAGGGCAAAAAACAGGAAAAATGGTCTACTATAGTCTTTTAACTGTAAATGCATAAAAATACTTGAAACAAAAGTTCTGAAGTACTGCCCCTCCGATTACGCCGCAATCATTAATTTAGTTCATTCCACCACTTAAAAAAATATTGTTTCATTAACTTTTTTTCTTTCATTTTTCGATTTTACAATTATAGAAATGATTTGATTTGATTTGTATTGCAACAAAAAGCATATTTTACCAGAATTATTTCTAGCGTTGTCCGAGCTCTATAATAATATCCTAATATGTCCTTCGTGATTAAATATTTTATTGTTAAATAATGTATATTGAGTTTCTAACCCTAGTTCTAGTTCAAACATTTAATTTTATCGTCAAACTTGTGACAGTTGGCGCCTGTATAGTTGGTTAAATACGCCACAGAAAATAGTTAAAAATACTTGCAAGTTTTTTTTTTATAGTTTTTACTTTTTCCTTTTGTTATTTATGTTGAACCATAAACATAAATCCATCTCTATATAAATAATTTATTTTGATTTAAAATTTTTGAAAGAACACTTTTCATTATTTTCTATTCTCATTATATTTACGGTTATACACTTTTAAACCAAACCCTATCATTTTGTTCAAAATTTCAAACTAAATGTTCGATTTTAAGATTAAAATTTTACCATTAGTGTGCCGCATATCCGTCTTAATTTTCTTCTGATGGAAAAAAAGTTTTAGAATTAATATAGATACATTTTAAAATTTTGTTATCCCTTTTCATTTCTTATATTTTTTTTATTTCATTTAGGTATTTTTCTCGTTTTAAATCTA